CATGGAAGCAACCTAATTGTCCATCGAGAGATGAATGGATAAAGAAGATGTGGCACATATATACAATGGCATATTACTCAGCCATAAAAAGAAACAAAATTGAGTTATTTGTAATGAGGTGGATGGACCTAGGGTCTTTCATACAGAGTGAAGTAAGTCAGAAAAAGATAAGCAAATACCGTATGCTAATACATATATATTGAATCTAAAAAAAGAAAAGAAAAAAGATTCCAACGAACCTAGGGGCAGGACAGGAATAAAGACACAGACATAGAGAATGGACCTGAGGACACAGGGAGGGGGAAGGGTAAACTGGGATGAAGTGAGAGAGTAGCACTGACATACATGCACTACCAAATGTAAAATAGAAAGCTAGTGGGAAGCAGCTGGATAGCACAGGGAGATCAGCTCAGTGCTTTGTGACCACCTAGAGGGGTGGGATAGGGAGGGTGGGAGGGAAACGCAAGAGGGAGGGGATATGGGGATATATGTATACATATAGCTGATTCACTTTGTTATACAGCAGAAACAAACGCAACATTGTAAAGCAATTATACTCCAATAAAGATGTTAAAAAAAAAATAAGTTAGTATAGGAATTGGGATGGGTCTGCCCCAAGAAACAATGAAATGATGCCATTCCATTTTATGGGCTTCTTTCAGCAAGAAATTGTAAAATATCAACACTTTTTTTTTTACTATTGTAAAACACCAGATACTAGATTAACAGTTATATAAAGATTTTCTTCACTTACCAAGAGAAATCTTACATGTGAGTCATAAATAACAGATAATGCATTTATTTTATACAGTTCAGTCTGCTCTAATGGAAAAGGAATTGGCAACATATTTCCAGTATTCTAATTCATCCTTGGTCGGTGAATCACAACATTTTCTATGACACACTTGTTAGAAGCCTTTTCACTTCGTTAGGTCTTAATTACAGTGGCAGCACATAGCACTGGATCAAATTGAGTGCTCATATCTGATCTCAAGGTCTGTAAAATGTCAGAAGCACAAGGTAATCATAGACCTGGTCCTTTTCTTTAATATATTATATGCCTATAGAATTAAATTCATAAAGTATGAGTCGATGACCTCTACAGTTTTACTAAATACTTTGTGTCATTTCCTAAATGTTCTCAATTACGTTTTGCCTTTGGCTGTTTCTTTTATTTGGTTTAGTGTGACCTGATCTTATTTGACTCTTGATAATTGGATATCAAAATCCAGAAGGCCTGGGGCAAGCCATGTTTCAAGTACATGACTGCCATAATCCTCAACACTTGACCTTAACTGTCTCTACAGGGCAGGTTTTTCTGTAACAGGGAGGGGGATGTGTGTAAGGGCTTATTGATGGTAACCATCACCAGCTCCACCCTGGCCTGGCTGTGGACCTGCAGTGAGGAAAACCAGAGGAGTTTGATTCCATCAACCAATGACTCAAAATACGGTGTTGAGAATGTGCTTTATGGTTTTCTATGTAAAATGCTACACAGGCTAACTGATGATCTCTTTCAAAGCGGGGTGGGGGGAAGGAAAGAAAAGCTAGTATGGAGCCATTAACATTTTTGAGCATTCTACAGAACTCCCATGTAACAAGGTTATCTTCATTTTTTGTCTTACTCATTTGGACTGATTTCAGTTTCATCAGTGTTTCTTTACTGGTGTTCACTGTTTAGTGTTTCTTTACAATTAACCTGGAGTTTGAAGACACTGCTATAGACAATGAATTCTAGTCAAATACCAGATGATATAGGAAGTGCTTGGTCATTTTAAAGTTTTAAATATATTCTCAGATACATTTTCATCTATAGAGCAAAAGAATGAAGCAGATTTAATAAGTACAGTTTTCTTTATTGTATCCCACACAATTTTGTTAAGGGTACAAAAAAGGTCCTGTGCAGCCAGCCACCAGGAAATACTCCCAGGTCATGATGGAGTTAAGGGTTGCTGCAACCACATAAGACATTGTGAGTCTTCCCTGGTGGCGCAGTGGATAAGAATCTGCCTGCCAATGCAGGGGACACAGGTTTGTTCTCTGATCCGGGAAGATCCCACGTGCCACGGAACAACTAAGCCCATGCGCCACAACTACTGAGCCTGCGCTCTAGAGCCCACGAGCCACAACTACTGAGCCCATGTGCCGCAACTACTGAAGCCCATGTGCCTAGAGCCCGTGCTCCGCAACAAGAGAAGCCACTGCAGTGAGAAGCCCACACACCACAAAGAAGAGTAGCCCCTGCTCGCTGCAACTAGAGAAAGCCCGCGTGCAGCAGCAAAGACCCAACACAGCCAAAAAAAAAAAAAAAAAAAAGACATTGTGGGTCTCTTTGATGGGTGGGCCCCAAGCTAACAAGATTTTAGCGGCTTTGTGAAGACAAAAATTGGGAAGTAATACAAATGTAGAACTACAAAGTACATCCATACCATGAAATGCTCTGCAGCTGTCAAATGATAATACAGGGATATAGTGATTGTATTTAAGTGCATTTAGATTACATATTTTTAGTTTAAAATACCACTCTTCAGTTTTTTAGTTAAAAAGAATTATGTAGCAGGATCCCATTTCTATATATGTTTACATATGTATAGAAAATAGCCTGGATAGATAAACAGCATCATATGTATGGGTGTTATACATGGTTGAGAGATAATGGGTAATTTTCCTTTTTATTTTCACTTGAGTATAGTTCCTAGGTTTTTTAATTAGCTTATATTAGTTAATAAAACTTTAAAGAAAGAAATGAAAAGAACAAGTAGGTGGTACTCTAGGAATCTGAAAACTATCACTTAATTCAGTCACCATTACTCACTCAAAAAACACTCAGCAAGTGTTTATTATCTTTCTACTATGTACACAGATCATTGCTATGACCTGAGAGAGATTTAAATATGTATGCTACTTCTCTACTGTCAAAGACTTAATTTTAGTAGTGGTAGAGCACACATATAAGCAACCAAAATTAACTCAGAGGCAGAATGAAAGGTGCAGGAAAAGAACAAACAAGGTTCTGTGGGTAAACAGGGGCAGGAGGCAGCGACTGCTGGCGAGACATTGACGACCACAAAACAGAGGATCAAATAGCCCGGAGATGGAAACAACCTAAGTGTCCATCATCGGATGAGTGGATAAAGAAGATGTAGCACATATATACAATGGAATATTACTCAGCCATAAAAAGAAACGAAATTGAGCTATTTATAATGAGGTGGATAGACCTAGAGTCTGTCATACAGAGTGAAGTAAGTCAGAAAGAGAAAGACAAATACCGTATGCTAACACATATATATGGAATTTAAGAAAAAAAAAATGTCACGAAGAACCTAGGGGTAAGACAGCAATAAAGACACAGACCTACTAGAGAATGGACTTGAGGATATGGGGAGGGGGAAGGGTGAGCTGTGACAGGGCGAGAGAGAGGCATGGACATAAACACACTAACAAACATAAGGTAGATAGCTAGTGGGAAGCAGCCGCATAGCACAGGGAGATCAGCTTGGTGCTTTGTGACCGCCTGGAGGGGTGGGATAGGGAGGGTGGGAGGGAGGGAGATGCAAGAGGGAAGAGATATGGGGTTATATGTATATGTATAACTGATTCACTTTGTTATAAAGCAGAAACTAACACACCATTGTAAAGCAATTATATTCCAATAAAGATGTAACAACAACAGAAAAAAAACAGAGGATCAGAATGAGAAGGTGACCGGTTCATCTGTCAGGAGATGCTTTGGAGTGTGGCCGCAGCACCACACCAGGCCAAGCTGAGGATCTCCAATAGCAGAGCTAAATCCTGTCTTCTACTTAAATCAACTACAAACTTTATGCTCTCACTCCTCAACAGTTTTAGGTGTAAATTTATCACAGAAGAGCTCTTGTATTGTAGATGTCTGACATTACGCATTCATCAGGAAATATATGGATGTATTGTCATTTAATGGATGAAATATATTTCTCATCACGTGAGCCAAAATGCCCATCTTATCATGAACAGTGGGGAGATGGCTAGCAAACAAGCTGCAAAGATGCATGGAAGACTAATTCAGGGACAAGAGAGCATGGCCACCGAGAAGGAAGATGAACTTTTTCATTCTGGGGATTCCATCTGGGATGAAGTGACTGAGAGAAAGAGGCAGAAAGTGACAACGAAAGACCAGTGACTGTTGATGAGGCACGGATCTCGCCACCAAATCACACCACTGACATTCCATCAGTGGACTAGTTGTTAATTAGTGGCACACATGCTGCTTTCTTTCCCCTGCTTATCCAATTGCTTCATATGGAGACAAAACTTTTCTGCTCAATTTCAGACTCTGCTGCAAATTTTCCTCTGTCCTAGAGCTCAATTGCATGGTGAAAAAGAAGATACAAATGGAATAGATGATTACCAAAATCGTCAGAGTCCAAAGGATTGTGATAATGAATGTTCTCTTACAAATAAATAGCTAGAGGGATTAGCCAGATGAGTGTGTCAGAGTATCAACAATGTTATAAGAACATCCAGTAACCACATGCTCGTCTCACCCTATGCTTGCTTCATGGCTCATCCTGCTCTCCTCAGTTAAGAGGTTCAGTAATCCCCTTTATCATTTTGCCAATGCTAAATGTATACATATTTTGTGGTAAAACATCAAGACTGGGATCATTTTCTGATATGCATAATACTGAGTAGGATGGCAATTGTAGCAATTTATTAAAGGTTGAATTTTCCTGTTCCAAGGAATGAAACTAAATGGAATGGATGTATGAACAAAAGAGCAGCTAAGAGTTGTGAATGCAGCACACCTAGGGTTTATTCCACAGCGCTGAGTCCTTTTCAATCACTAACAATAAACCTGTCCATTCTACTTACTTGGTGATGGATGTTAACTAGACTTATTGTGGTGATCATTTCACAGTATATACAAATATTGAGTCACTATGTTGTACACCTAAAACGAATATAATGTCGTATGTCAATTATATCGCAATTAAAAAAACACAGTTGTACTGTCTTACAGTTCTGTAGGTTAGAAGTCCAACGTGGGTCTCACTGGACTAAAATAAAGGTGTCGACAGGGTTGTTCCTTTCCAGAGCTCCACAAGTCATCTATTTCCTTGCCTTTTCCAGCTTCTAGAGGTGTTCCACATTCCTTGGCTTGTAGCCCCCTTACTCCACCTTCAAAGCCTGCAAGATTGCAAGATTGCATCTCTGACCATTCTGCCATAGTTGTATCTTCTTCGCTCCACAGCCAGGAAAACGTCTCTGTTTCTAAGGACTCGTTGATTACACTGGGCTCACCTGGATGACCCAAGATACCCTCCCATCTCAAAGTCCTTAACCTTAATCACATCTGCAAAGCCTGTTTTTCCATGTAAAGCACCATTTTTTTTCTCTAATCCCTTTCTTTGCATTCCCATAGATTTATCCTATCCCTTGACTTGGGTTTACAGCAATAACGTGCTAACTGCTCTCCTTGGAGGAATTTCTCCTCCACTTCAATCCATCCCATGTGCCAATTTCATATAGATCCTCTTAAAGGACCGTTAAAAAACAAAATTCAACTGAGTACATCTTAAAGATCTTATTGGCTTTATTCAATGATTCATGAATTGGGCAGTATCCAATCTAACAGCTAGAAAGGAGCTCCCAGGAGCTATAAAAATGAAAGACCTTTACAGGCAGAAGGCAGCAGGAACAAGGAAGTTATACTAGGCAAAAAAATCAGGTTGGTTGTTGCACGGGTACTCTCTTAGGGGTTAGCAGGGGTCTATCAAGCTGAGGACCTAACTAGTGCTGATTAGGCAATTCCTGATTGATTGGTTAAAATTCCATTGCTGGAATTTTTGCAGCTTTTCATATATATTCTGAATACACATAAAACATTTCTGAAAGGATACCCAAGAAACTGTCAATGGGCTGAGAAATGGAATGCAGCAGTGGGGATGGGCACAGATTGACTAGATGGGTGGGTAGAAAGGAAACTTCAATTTTTCCTATTTTATGCTTTTCAATATTCATTGAGTTCTGACCATATCGATGCAATTCTTTTAAAATTAAAAAAACTAGCAAAATAACTTTTATTTAAAAGGATACAGATTTTTGAGGAAAACAGGTATGCAGAGAAAACCTCACTACCATTGTTCCTCCACCCAAATACAACCACTATTCAGAGTGAGTAGAATGTTAATGACAGCAAAAATCACACTGCCACTCTCCAAAAAAGTCTCTGAAAGTAAAAATGGTTAGATGTACCCATAACATTGTCCTCTAAGGTGCTCCAAGTGCTGGACAAACAGTTCCCACTGTGGGGCAGCAGGAAGATGAATACTTTTGGGTAATCAAAGAGAAAGAGACCATGTAAGCCACTAAGTGCCTGTCCTGCCAGGTGCTGGCTGAGAAGAAGCAGAAGCAAAGAGGAATAAGTCAGTCCCTACTCCATGGAATTAACGCATTGCTTATTCTTGAAATTAAGAAAATTGAATGATCGTGGGAAGAATGTTACATTTATAACCTAAGTAACATTTAGAGATTAGAGTCATAATGAATCAGTGCTTCTTTTCTCCTGGAAAAACAATGTGTAGATACCAATGGAAAAAAGTACTGTAAGAGTTTAATTAACATTAAATTAATTAAATCCCAGGATCTGACTCTGGAGTCAGATAAACAAGATTGAAATACAAATTTGGCCGTCTTCCAGATGCATGGAGAAGTTTAGAGAAGTTATTTGACTTTCCTAAGCCTCAGTTTTCTCATGTGAAATGGAGACACAAGAAGTACCTACCACCTAAGGTGTTTGTGGGGACTAAAGGAGATAAATGAGTACAGTGTGTTGGGTGGGGTATTCCAGGGACCCCACTCACCTGGCTCCCCAGGAACACCCAGGACGGTGGCTGGCATGGGAAGACCTCATTCACATTCATCAGCAAATGAATTAGACGACTGATACAACTTAAAACAATTTTTTTTAATGTTGCAAGAAGGAACAGATAATTACAAAAGTTTGGAAACAACCCAAATGCCCACTGTTATGGCTAAACAAAGTATGGAATACTAGTAAATACGGATGCTCTGTGACTAGAGAAATAATGGGAAGTTGTCTAATCTGATATGGAAGGAGCCTTAGGACATATTATTAAAATGTGAAAAGGAGAAAAACAAAAACATATTTGTATTTCCATAAAAAACAGTTTTACAAGGAATCTACTAGAAACTAATAAAAGTGGTTAGCCATGAGGATGGAGGATAAGAATTCAGTCAAAAGGGTGGTGAGATTGGGAGGACACTTTTTTACTGTATCTGTTTTTATGTATTTTTAAAACGTTGAACCATGTGAATGGACTCCATATTCAAAAATAAACGAAAAACTTAAAGAAACACATGGAGCTGGATTACTGTTGTTTATTCCAGTCAGTGCTACGGTGCAATGTTAGAGGGGGTTTTTGGTTTTGTTGTTTTTTGAGATTTATCTTTTTAAGAGTTCATTCAAGTTCAGAATTCAAACCGTGAAAGAATTTTTGGTGAAAACTTTCCTCCCCACCTTAGCTACAGAGTTCCCCTTCCCTCAGGCAACCAAAGTTTAAAAGATTCTTGAATATAATGGGAGTTTTGGGATATTTAGAATTTTAAAATGTATTTGCTGCTATGATTTCAAGCAGGATTACGCAATCGTGGTTTCAGCAAGTCAGGACTCTCATTAAAAGCTAACTCTTTCATTAAACCATCTTTTCTTGTATTGCAAATCAGATACCGTTGAGAGCACCTGACAACTGTAGGCAACACAAATATGATGATGTTGGTAACAGGCGGCAAAGAGTGACCCCCATGGAGGTCGGTGGAATAAAGGAAATAGGCAGAAAATGCTCAAACTATAACAGCTATGCTCCTACTTCAGCAGGCTTTGCTTGGTTCAAAGCCTTCGGGGAGGGAGCTGTGGCGAGAGGGCCATGAAGTCCAGAAGTTGCTGCGGAGTGCATCTTTGGGATACAGTACAACCCCTCTCCTCCCGGACCACAAACAGTTCAACACCCACACCCAAACCCCACAACCCGAGCCTCTTCCCACTGATCTACCGACCTACCAGAGCAGTAAAAGGGTTTTCAAAGCAAAGGATCCGCACAGAGAAACTGGGTTGTTTAAATCAGTGCTTCTCAAAATGTGGTCCCTGGACCAGCAGCATCAACGTCACCTGGGAACTTGTTGGAAGTGCAGATTCTCAAGCCCCACCAGGACCTCCCAAATCAGAAACTCTGGGGGTAGGTGTGTTTTAACAAGCCTTTTGGATCATTCTGGTGCAGGCTACAGTTTGATAACCACTGGTTTAAATCAACATTTTCTCTTGGACTTAGAGATGATCATACCAAGCTGAGTAAGTCAGAAAGAAAAAGACAAACACCATATGCTATCGCTTATATGTGGAATCTAAAATATGATACAAATGAACTTATCTATGAAACAGAAACAGACTCACAGACATAGAGAACAGACTTGTGGTTGCCAAGGGGGAGAGGGTTGGGGGAGGAGCGGACTGGGAGTTTGGGATTAGCAGATGCTAACTATTATATATAGAATGGATAAACAACAAGGTCCTACTATACAGCACAGGGAACTATATTCAATAGCCTGTAATAAACCATAAAGGAAAAGAATATGAAAAAGAATATATATGTATAACTGAATCACTTTGCTGTACAGCAGAAATTAATACAACATTGTAAATCAACTATACTTCAATAAACAAACAAACACACAAACAACAAAAAAAATTTTTCTCCACTTCCCTGGAGTCAGGGGGAAGGGAGGTGGGAAGCTTGTGAAAAATGCGTACTCCCAGGCCCACCTCAGACTCACTGACTCAAAATATTCCATGGAGAAGCCTCAGAACCTACTTCCAGTGATGACTGAGATACTGGCTTCAATGATTCCTATTACCAGCTGCATGATGTTAGGATAACAAATCCGCCTTACTCCCTGAATATATCAGATGTTCCTTTTTCTCAAAAGCAAACATCGAGGCTGGCCTTACAGCTCAAACAAGATTCTTTCAGACCATCTAATAAATAGCAGTCTCTTCAGGAACACGTTTGGCATCTCTGACTCCCAGCTGCGTGGTCGTCTACATCTCAGAATCCTAATTTGACAGTAATCAGAATAAGGAAGTACAGATCCTTTCTTTGTTTTGCTGACACCCACTCCCATGATAAACTCATAGGTGGTCACCTAAGACCCGCTCCCCACTGCTGTCACACAGACGGAGTCCTAAGGAATGAGAACTGAGACAATGAATTTACGTAAAGGTAAAGGAGGGATTTGAAAATAAGGTGCAGCTTATTGTCCTGGATAACGGCAGACAGCTCTGAGGAGAGAAGCATGGAAGGCAAGTGTCACAATTTCCTGCATTGAGTCATATCCTGCAGGTGGTTGAGTGGTTGTATCACTCAGTTGCTTTAAAAAGAAGACAACTTTCTTATGCCCAATCCTCCATCCCAAACTCCTTCATCCCCTGCCCTAGGGTGTGGGGACAGGCAAGGGGAAGTGTTGCTGGATGCATATTTTCTAGATCCTAGAACTGGGTAAGCACCACACTTTGAAGCTCTTTCCCTGGCAAAGCCCAAAGGGCTCACACTTGTGTAGGAAAGCAGCTGGGAGAGGATAATGAAGCCCCAGGGAGTCAAACTCATCCCAGTTGGTGGTTGCAGTGAGTTAGCTCAGCCACAAACTCAGAGGCAGGGGCGACCCAGTCCAGATGGCTGGAAGACAGCATATTCAGAAAAATGGAGGACAGTAATTATTTAAAGAATAATTGGAATAATCAAAGTCTCCAGCAGTTTTCTCCCGAGTTCAACTACACTTAAGAAGTCAGACCCCAGATTCCTGGTCTGGAGCATGTGACCAGAGAGGGTCCAAGGATAACACTGTAGTCCTTGACAAACATAGGCACAAAAATATCACTGTAGCAGGAGAAGGGTCCACAACTGTTAAAATCAGCCAGTGTTTCTGGAAAGCAATTGTCATTCAGTGTTTCCTTTTCGTTGCACTGCTGACCACCACTCTGCAGTTGGGAAGTCTGGAGGCCTACTTATTCTCTGCACATTCTAGTACAGTCAGCTCCATTTAATAGCAGAGAGGAAAAAAGACATGATGGGGAAGACAGGGCAAGAATGTAATGGCTCTTAGAAGCCCAGGTGGGGAGGGAGGCAGCTGATGTGCAATCACTTCAGAAGGAGAAAAACCAAGAGGAATCTCAGCCTGCACCTTCTGAGGTGAGTGGTGTTTTGGACTTAAGATATCTTAGACCATTGTTTTTTAAAAATTCATATTTCTAGGCCACTTCATTGTAGGGGGGAAAAGGCTTTCAAGTTGAATGCAGAGCCATACCATTGCAGAAGTTTACCTGTTACATGTGCCTCAGGACCTCACCTCAGGCGCATCCCATCTCGGGTTTCTCCAGTGCCATTAGATGGTCAGGGAATTGGGGCCACTTTTTGGTAATACTTTTGTTGCCTCATTCTGTGTGGCTTCCCACATTTTATCCCTAAGAGGACTGAAAAAACAAAAAGCATCTGAACAAAAAGGAGAAAGGGTAGCTCCTTCTAAAATTAACATAAACTCCATGAGGATAATAATCTTAGTTTTTTTTTATTAGACTGCTGTGGACTGAATGTTTGTGTTCTCCACCCCTCAATTCATATGTTGAAATCCTAACCCCCAAGGTGATAGTAGTAGGAGGTGAGGCCTTTGGGAGGTAAGTAGCTTATGAGGGCAAAGTCCTCATGATCGGGATGAATGACCTTAGAAAAGAGACCCCAGAGACCTAGCTCACCCCTTCTTCCATGTGAGGTTATAGTGAAAAAAAGGCCATCTATGAGCCAGGAAGTGGGGCCTCACCAGACATGGACTCTGCCACTGTTTTGATCTTGGACTTCCAGCCTCCAGAACTGTGAGAAATAGATTTCTATTATTTATAAGCTATAAACATATAAGTTTATGATATTTTTGTTCTAGCAGCCCTAATGAACTAAGACATACATGCTCCTCAGTGCCTAGAACAGTCCCTGACACATATTGGATGCTCTACAGGTATTTATTGTATAGAAAATGTTGATACCCTGGTAAAGAGTAGAAGCCAGCACTCCTCAAGGTCATTGACAAAGGGCTACAATGGGCTTTGTCCTACCATACTGATACCCATTTCATTTGTCCCACCAAGGAGGACCAACAAATGCTTACATCATTCATCTATTTGCTTGGGTTTCATGAAGTTTCTTTGCATTATTTTTCATCAGTTGTGTCAGGCTTTGTCACTGCATATATGTTTTGCTTTATTGGCATTTTTATCCTTCATACTTGCTTCAAGAGCTGCCTAGAATTGCAGATGAATATCATGGAGCCCTGGGCAGTCAGGTGCCCACTCACATGCCCAGGAAACAGTAATAAGCTGAAGTAGGTGGTGTAGGCCTGGAAGGAACACTGCCCATCACATAATCCAAAATCCTTGTTATACAGACAGGAACACTGAGATCCAGAAAAGAGAAACCATCTGCCTGGGCACCCACGGAGCATCCCACTTGTTCAGAAACATCTTGGCCCACCAAGATCATGGTGATTAGCATCAGTCTTTGGCCTTCCAGAGTCACAGCTAAACAAAATATGCTATTTGGGAAAGCTAATTGGTACTGGAATCCCTTAAACTCTCTGCTTCCCATGATAACTTTAGGGTGGGGCTTTAATGATAGGTTTTATTAATAAGTTTATCCAGCGAAGTGGGAATGGGATGCAGGACAAATTAGTTCTAATGGGGGGCGGGAGGTCTTAATTCATTGAATAAGAAAAGGAAAGGTTAGGGCTTCCCTGGTGGCGCAGTGGTTGAGAGTCCGCCTGCTGATGCAGGGGACACGGGTTCGTGCCCCGGTCCGGGAAGATCCCACATGCCGTGGAGCAGCTGGGCCCGTGAGCCATGGCCGCTGAGCCTGTGCGTCCGGGGCCTGTGCTCTGCAGCGGGAGAGGCCACAACAGTGAGAGGCCCGCGTACCAAAAAAAAAAAGGAAAGATTAACCATCATTTTGAAGAGGCAGCATAGCACAGAGAGTAATGACTTTGGAGTCAGATAGCCTGAGTTCCAATCCTAGCCCTGCCACTCACTAGCTTGGGAGGGCTACTCAGTAGTTCCATGTCACAGTTTCCTTTATCTGTATATGGAAGGCAGTGATAGTAGAGACTGTTATATATAAAGAATTCAGGGCAGCACCTTATACCTACAAGTTCTCAGTATATAGAAATGACTTTTTTCTCTCCAGGTCTCTTCAGGTAAAACTTTGCTTACATTTGTCACTTATTTCCAGAATAAAACACATCCAGATCTGTGGTGCATGACCCATTCACCATGTCCAAATTTATTGTCTTTCTACTTAGACCAAGAGGGGAGGGATGGGGAAAGCTCCAGGGGAAAAAATGGTGCTGGGATGTTATGTATGGTGTTCACTCTAAGGGCAGACTTTGCAGAGGTGAAATCTACAGTTTGATAATGCCCCATTTTAATCTATTTGAGGATAGTTTAAAGAATCTGGATTCAGTATAGTGTTTATCATTATTGCTTTAGGTTTTCTGGGGGGTCTTCATCTAGAGGATATAAACATGGGGTGTCACAATACACTTGAGCGATTCAATTAGACAACTTTGTGGAACTCATATCAAATGCAAAGCAATCAGGTACAAAATTCTGAGGGACGTAAAGACAACTATGAAACAGTTCTCACTGTTGGGTTTAAACAATAAAGTCTATTGAGCAAGATAGCTGAATGCATCTAATGACATTCCTGTGAAAAATAGGTGAGGAAGGGATCATTTATAAGAGTTTATCACATTGTCATTTACTCCCTCCAAATGCCTCTTATCTACTTCACCTCTAACGTCATAACATTATCCTAAACAACCATCTCTGAGGTTCGCTTTGCTGCAAATATCCTCTGGTGAACGAAGAAGTAAATCACAGGATCAGAGATTATTCTGAATGCCATCTAAAAGAAATGAAGGTTTATTTTCTGATGCACAAACTAAAGTGACAGTTCCATAAAATAGAATATGTTCTCCTTCCAAGCTCACAAAGATATAGAGCTGTAAAAGGAAGAACAATTTCATGTTACCTCTCTGATGAATACCCAGTAAGATTTTATTTTAAATTTTGTTTCAGGGAATCTTTAAAGGATTGTATTGTCAATATTCACTTGGGAGTTTTACTGTAAACGTTAATTAGTTAACTCAAAACAAAAAGTAGCAATGT